AATAAATTTAACCTGGCTGGAGAACATGTCTACAGACCCTGGCTGGAGAACCTGGAGAACCTGGCTGGAGAACCTAGCAAGAGAACATGGACACAGAACTTGGCTGGAAATTGTGGCTAGAGATCCTGGCAAGGTTGCTGATCAACTGAACGCTGTCTCCGTGTCATTGCTTCTTCGCCGACTCCGTCCACACCTATGGGGAACCCCTGGACCTGCTGGGGTTGGACCCCAGCATAACATAATCAAATTGTGAAGGACTCATGGCAGAAGAACTGGACTTCCTCCCACATGCTACAAAAAGTCTATACAGTGGGGCCTTGACTTACGAGTTTAATTCGTTCCGAGACCGAGCTTGTTAAGGAGCTCATTAATTCAAATTACTCTATCAACTCAATGCAAAAAATCGGCCGAGAGACAGCTGGTATCTCAAAAAACTCGTTAGTCGAGACACTTGTAAGTCAAGGCCCCACTGTATTACTCTTAATAAGAAGGAACTGTCTGTGGGCAAATTATGGCAATTAATGATTTGTATGTGATTCTAAAAGTAAGATTCCTTCTGGTATCTTGATGTCTCTAATTTCTTCAAATGTACACTGACTGTAATTTTTATCAAAGTAAACCCACAAAACAGTGAATTTACCCCACAGGCTTCATAATAAATATAATGTAAATTAAAATAGGAATGCTGAAAATGTTCTAGATCTTAATCTGGGTATTAGCAACAAAGATACATAAACATAAAATTTGACTGAGCTACACATGCACACTTAAGAAATTTGTAGTTTACTGCATTTATGCCAGACCTCAACAAAAACATTTAAAAATGGATATAAGTAAACTACTTTCCTCCCCATTATGAAATCACTGACATAATTGCACTCTCAGTGAATAAAGAATTGTATAGCAGTGGATAGTTTCTGGACAATTCTGACGTAAGTTTCACTTTTTTCTTGCTTTAATTCCAGTAAGTGAACACAAAATATTTGTACTCTGTTTTGGGAATAATTTCCAATTTGAATAATCCAAACATTTCTTAAGACTTCTAACCAATCTTCCACCTAACACACAAACAAAAAGAACTAAGTGGTTAAAATTATACAATTATAAAACCAGAATTACAATGCTCTTGGGGCTCCAAAAATTTGCCATTAAAATAGAAAAAGTACAAACTTATTTATTATTAATGCATTAACGTTAGTAATAAAGCTCAATTTAGATGGTGATGTATATTCAAATGTTAAAAAATTGAGTGAAAAATAAGAAAATGTATTTGATCTTTCTCTATTTACACTATATAGAACCCCTGCCAATGTCATTAATTTTAATTGTGCATAATGTGTATTTATAATGCATATATAAATATGTGCATCCTCTAAAATCCGGGAAATGGAACAAGTTAAAGCTAGTAATTTTTCCACAGGTGAGCTTTATTATTAATTCATATTCCAAGTACTATTACAAAGTTACAAACACATCTTTGGATAAAACAAGGAAATTGTGGGTCAAAATCAAATGACAACAATAAGTCAGTGGTAAAGTTTAACAACCTAATGAACTAATACTGGATCTACTCAACTAGCAAAACTTTTTACTTAACTGACTAAATGATGTCTCAAGAGGACTATGATTTACAATAAATTCACCCATCAAATATATAAAAGGGTCCCCAAACTAGCTTGTTTTTCTATAAAGTAGAAATAATAACCCTGTTTGCCTTCCAGAATACTTATAAGAATAAAATAATGCTTATAAAACATTTAGTGCAGTGCCTAGATCAAAGGTAGTAAATTTTTTAAAACTTATCACTGTATTTATTAAAAGGAATATAAGTATAAAATATGAGTCATTGTAGCACTTTAATGACTTAAGTCAAAGCACTTTTTGCTCAATTATTTTGCTTTCCTCCCCCTCTCCTTTATCAATCCCTTTTCTATTTTTTTACACTGCTCTAATTTTATCATCACGCCATTCTTAGTAATTTGGAAAATATTTCTGAAAAATATTTTCACCTCTTCAAATACAAGTCTAGCTATGTTGGAAAACAACCACAAAAGATGTTCTATTGATAACTGAGACAGAACAAATGAAAACAGACACTACTTGTCATTTCATAAAACAAAATACTCAGTAACAAAATAGGCCCACTTAGAATGATCATCATTGAAATCCCAAAAAAATAAATGAACATGGACTATCTAGCTTTGGCAAGAATTCAAGCAAATGTGGAAGCTAAGTTATAATAAAATCAGGCACTAGATAAAAATAGTTCAGCTGTCAAAATGATAATTTACAAATACAACCATTACTTTCTCTAACAGTCTTACAACCCAGCAATGCCAGCTAATTTGCTCACCTTATCTGAGGATCTGCCCACCTAGGTCCAGCCAAGACAGAGACTGCCGTGTATTCCACAGGATTATAGTCTTGCCACTCAACAAGCCAGCCTACTTTCTCATTAGGAACCTGGCTGCGTTGAACTTTTGAACCTGGGTAAGGAGATGTCCGAGCCTTCTTGTGGGAATTCTCTTTAGCACCATGAGAACCAGACATGATGTTGGAGTTAAGATGAAACCCACACGAAGAAAATGAGCTTCTGGGAGAGGGAAAAAAGAAAATATTTAAAATAAATAAATATATATGTATCTATAATAATAAAAGCATAATATGCTAATTAGACTGGACAGCCAAATGACCTTCCAGACGACCTTCCAGACAAAGCCAAGCTTCAAGGGCCAAGGCATGCCGGAGCTGCCAGGGCCAACGCAAGTCACGGCTGCGAAAGCTGAGCCCCTTGCACGAATTTCATGCATTGGGCCTCTAGTGTGTGTGTGTGTATGTGTGTGTGTGTGTGTGTGTGTGTAACTACACAAATAAACTACAAAC